TTGAGGGAGCATGATTAAAGTTCCTCATTTAAAGACGTCTTTGATTCACGCTGATGACAATGTGATAGTCTGTGGAAATGAATAGTTCTGGCCAAGAATAAAACTGATCTGTTGATTAGATATTTTGGTGGACACATTCCAAATGAGGGGAGGGGAGGGGGTTTGCAAGGGGGGACAGGACTTTGCAAGGGTGGCCAGTACATTTCGTGATTCACCTGTTGAGAAACAATGGTTCTGAGGCAGAGGGTGAGACAGAGAGTACATCAAACCTCAAAATATGCAAACAATTTTGAGTTTTTAGTCTCTTCGTATTATGTCTAGATTTCAGAGCATGACAATGTTTATTATGAAGAAGATAATCAATCACTGAGAACGTACTATAATACATTATCACAATGAGGTCATTATGCAAATACATTGTCAATGTACTGTAATATTTTAAAATGAGCTATCAGTTGACAAAAACCCAATCTGAAGCTTATTCTTGCCAAAAACTGCACACTTTGACAGGGAACGCAGTTTGAAATTTTCATATATGTTAGCCTATATCATCTAAAAACAGCAAGTGCTGTTAGGTCAATTATACAAAGCAAGGTGCTTTGTACTTAAACAAGACTGAGAAAAATCCACGCAACGGACTCCTTACCGGCTTTCCCAAAAAGAAAATTAGACATCTGCAGTTCACATTTTGCTCTGATCTCTGAAATCAACCACAAGTAGTGCAGTTCATCACTTAAACAGGCATGTGACTGAGGACATTCATGTTCCATACAGGGCACACAAAATCCAAACCTTAAAAAAAAAATGTTTTCAGACAAATATTTCAACACTTTCCAAATATTCATCCGTTTTGGTTGCGCACTTGAAAATACTGCTTCGTTTTACTATAAATAATAATAAAGGTCTACAGTTTTACTATAAAATATTAAATTATTATGATATTTTGTGCATTCACTGAGAGCAAAAAACCTTTCTGTACCTCTCTACTGGAGAAAAACTTATGGATTTGCATAAACTTTCTTTAAAGAGAAGTATTATTTTTTACCCAAAATAGAGTGTTGTTTCATTTATAGGCTACTTGTAGCCAGAGGGCGACCTCGCGCAGAACGTCCACTAGTGAGACGCAAAGAATTCATAAAACTTATGACGTTTCAGGACATCCATTATATATAAGAATAAAGTATATTTAATGCAATGCTAACATAGCCTTTATCACTGTATAGAATACTATAAAAAATACAATTTATGCCTCATTCTGTCACAAAATGAAGTTATTATTTTTAATACACTCCACTGACGTTGGATTGAAAACATTGTCATAATGTTCTCTTTTGTTTTTCATTACAAGTTTGGAAAGATGGTGCTTGTTGCTTTTTCAAATGCAGAATGCAAATGCACTCAGCGCTTGTAGATGAAGCAGCATTTATTGCGAACTGATATCTGTTATGATTACAGTTCTGCGCTTCACCATGAATCACCCAGCCAGCGCATTTAGCCTACTTATTTCATTAAAATGTTGGAATTTTTTGATAATCAAACTAAGCCAAATCGCAATTTCTGTTAATCGTGCAGCCTCACAGGTTACTAATGTAGGCTAAATGTATTCATTGCACATACCAATTTTTTTCATACAAGCGAAATTGCCTATGTGTCGCACAATAGGTAGGCTACCTGTACAGTATATTGGCCTATATATATATATACAGTATATAGAGGGAATGCATTAACGTCACTTCCCCGCCGGAACACGCCCCCCTCAGCGGGACTGAGTGGCAGAAGAGCTGCTGCGTGACTGGAGTTAATAGGGGAAACTGCGTTAACGCGAGTAAAACAAACTATTATCAGTTTAAACTAAAAGTTGGACTCGATATAGTGTTCCTTACAACTTATCAAAGATCCAGTGATCCATGGATATTGACATGCAGCCAGGAATCGTGTTTGTTTATATGTGCCTGATTTCGACGCCGGGGAAATAAATGAAGAACATTTGCCTGTAAACGTTTTATATAAATACAATATAGATAGGTCTAAATCCGAGTGATCACTTACATTAATGTTATACTGTATATCATCATATCGTCCAGCCCTAAAACTTGTATAGTTTTTTGTCAGTGTTTATTTAAAAACATCCAATTATGCAGAATATAGTCTGTTCTGTAGCTTTTTGCAGTCTGTAAAAATATACAGTACCTCAGATTTCTGGTCAAATCTAGTTGTACAGTCAATCGCAAAGCTCTTTCCCGTTTTAGATGTGTTTTGTGTGATTTTCACGGCATTCACGCTGAAAACAAATGCTGCCGCTCAGTCTTTTTGCCACTTGTGGGCGTGACCGCATTCACTCCGGCCGACGGTGACGTCATGCGCATACCCTCTATATACACTCACCGGCCACTTTATTAGGTACCCCATGCTAGTAACGGGTTGGACCCCCTTTTGCCTTCAGAACTGCCTCAATTCTTCGTGGCATAGATTCAACAAGGTGCTGGAAGCATTCCTCAGGGAGTTTGGTCCATATTGACATGATGGCATCACACAGTTGCCGCAGATTTGTCGGCTGCACATCCATGATGCGAATCTCCCGTTCCACCACATCCCAAAGATGCTCTATTGGGTTGAGATCTGGTGACTGTGGAGGCCATTTTAGTACAGTGAACTCATTGTCATGTTCAAGAAACCAATTTGAAATGATTAGAGCTTTGTGACATGGTGGAAGTAGCCATCAGAGGATGGGTACATGGTGGCCATAAAGGGATGGACATGGTCAGAAACAATGCTCAGGTAGGCCGTGGCATTTAAACGATGCCCAATTGGCACTAAGGGGCCTAAAGTGTGCCAGGAAAACATCCCCCACACCATTACACCACCACCACCAGCCTGCACAGTGGTAACAAGGCATGATGGTTCCATGTTCTCATTCTGTTTACGCCAAATTCTGACTCTAACATCTGAATGTCTCAACAGAAATCGAGACTCATCAGACCAGGCAACATTTTTCCAGTCTTCAACTGTTCAATTTTGGTGAGCTCTTGCAAATTGTAGCCTCTTTTTCCTATTTGTAGTGGAGATGAGTGGTACCCGGTGGAGTCTTCTGCTGTTGTAGCCCATCCGCCTCAAGGTTGTGCATGTTGTGGCTTCACAAATGCTTTGCTGCATACCTCGGTTGTAACGAGTGGTTATTTCAGTCACTGTTGCCCTTCTATCAGCTCGAACCAGTCTGGCCATTCTCCTCTGACCTCTGGCATCAACAAGGCATTTCCGCCCACAGAACTGCCGCTCACTGGATGTTTTTTCTTTTTCGGACCATTCTCTGTAAACCCTAGAGATGGTTGTGCGTGAAAATCCCAGTAGATTAGCAGTTTCTGAAATACTCAGACCAGCCCTTCTGGCACCAACAATCATGCCACGTTCAAAGTCACTCAAATCACCTTTCTTCCCCATACTGATGCTCGGTTTGAACTGCAGGAGATTGTCTTGACCATGTCTACATGCCTAAATGCACGTAGTTGCCGCCATGTGATTGGCTGCTTAGAAATTAAGTGTTAACGAGCAGTTGGACAGGTGTACCTAATAAAGTGGCCGGTGAGTGTATATATATATATATACACTCACCTAAAGGATTATTAGGAACACCATACTAATACTGTGTTTGACCCCCTTTCGCCTTCAGAACTGCCTTAATTCTACGTGGCATTGATTCAACAAGGTGCTGAAAGCATTCTTTAGAAATGTTGCCCCATATTGATAGGATAGCATCTTGCAGTTGATGGAGATTTGTGGGATGCACATCCAGGGCACGAAGCTCCCGTTCCACCACATCCCAAAGATGCTCTACTGGGTTGAGATCTGGTGACTGTGGGGGCCATTTTAGTACAGTGAACTCATTGTCATGTTCAAGAAACCAATTTGAAATTATTCGAGCTTTGTGACATGGTGCATTATCCTGCTGGAAGTAGCCATCAGAGGATGGGTACATGGTGGCCATAAAGGGATGGACATGGTCAGAAACAATGCTCAGGTAGGCCGTGGCATTTAACCGATGCCCAATTGGCACTAAGGGGCCTAAAGTGTGCCAAGAAAACATCCCCCACACCATTACACCACCACCACCAGCCTGCACAGTGGTAACAAGGCATGATGGATCCATGTTCTCATTCTGTTTACGCCAAATTCTGACTCTACTATCTGAATGTCTCAACAGAAATCGAGACTCATCAGACCAGGCAACATTTTTTCCAGTCTTCAACTGTCCAATTTTGGTGACCTTTTGCAAATTGTAGCCTCTTTTTCCTATTTGTAGTGGAGATGAGTGGTACCCGGTGGGGTCTTCTGCTGTTGTAGCCCATCCGCCTCAAGGTTGTGCGTGTTGTGGCTTCACAAATGCTTTGCTGCATACCTCGGTTGTAACAAGTGGTTATTTCAGTCAAAGTTGCTCTTCTATCAGCTTGAATCAGTCGGCCCATTCTCCTCTGACCTCTAGCATCAACAAGGCATTTTCGCCCACAGGACTGCCGCATACTGGATGTTTTTCCCTTTTCACACCATTCTTTGTAAACCCTAGAAATGGTTGTGCGTGAAAATCCCAGTAACTGAGCAGATTGTGAAATACTCAGACCGGCCCGTCTGGCACCAACAACCATGCCACGCTCAAAATTGCTTAAATCACCTTTCTTTCCCATTCTGACATTCAGTTTGGAGTTCAGGAGATTGTCTAGACCAGGACCACACCTGTAAATGCATTGAAGCAACTGCCATGTGATTGGTTGATTAGATGATTGCATTAATGAGAAATTGAACAGGTGTTCCTAATAATCCTTTAGGTGAGTGTATATAATAAATAAAAGTTTTTCCTAATTTTTACTGTATTTATTATTTTAAATGATTTAAAAAAAATCTTTTACATGTTTATTTTTTTTTACATTTCTACTCCTTATGTGTAAATCACTTTGAATCAACGCTGTAAATGCTCGCCTTTGCCTCACCATAGTATGTAAGTATGCTGTCATGTCACTGGGTGAAACGACCTAACAGCCTGTTGTTTTCAGTATTTCGCTCACTTTATAGTAGGCTCATCACATTGAGTGACTGCTCTAGGCTGCCTCGGGTCGCACCACGATCGAGAATCTCGGCGGCTGGGCTCACATCCTCAGTCGGCATGAGAGGAAGGACACGGCGGCTGCGGAGAACCGACTGCGCCGCGACAATTACAATTCGCACCAGATTTCTACCGACGTAGTCAACAGCACCGTTTTTTTTTTGTTTCAGTTAACACGGGGCAGACAACGTCGCTGGAAAGGGAGTCTACAAGAAGACGTCAGACTATCCAGTGAGCTGCCTACCTAGACAGATTTTTTTTGGGCATCATACCGCTTTCGTGCGCGCTCCGGGCAGCATTCATTCACAGTCGCTGTCCACACACACATGTACAGTATGTGTGAACGTGCGGAGAAGTTGAAGATGCCACTCTGAATCATCTGTGCACTTGGATCGACGGTAAGAACACGTATTTATTATGGGAGAATTCAAATAGGCTACTGTTACCAACTTGATTTTGTTAAGGATCATATAGGGACTCGCACCTGTGCATGTAACATTTTCCTATCAAAAACAATATACCACATTATCCATTTTCACGAGTCTATTGTTGTGTTTCATGCCCAAAGCCTCAAAGTTGTCAGACGTCTTTTCCTCCGCACGCTGTTGACTTCTGGGATATTTTAAGAGAAATAAAAGGTGACTCAACTGGCATAAAGTAAGGACATATAACCTAAATGTGTCATATTGCCCTTAAGGCATTGGAAGCTTGGTATGGCTAATGGGTGAGATTTATTTAGAGAATGGGAACTTAATGTAACGTCGTGGCTCTGTATACTGTTTAATTGTGTTGTACCGTACGTTTTAAAATGCTGGAAAGTGTCTTTTCTCTTTGTGGAAACTGAATGTTGTGCCAGAGAAGTGCTTGCTTCAGTAATGGATGTTTTAGAAGATTTCAGACAAAAATCTGGCTGGGAATGATGTGAATGTGGTTTAACAGGGGCTTAACTTCCATGCGGTTAGTTTAAGATTTTACCGAATATTTCAGAAGTTAAAATGACTGTAGTTTGGGTAGTTCGTTTGACACACTGCAGGACCATTTAAAATGAACTATAGTGAAAGCAAAATATTGATGTTGAATAAAAATAAATTCATGGAGATGTTTTACGTGAGCTAGGCTACCCATTTACAGTCTTAAACTTAGTTTATAATAAACCCGGGTTTCACAGCCTTGCAATGTCCTAACCTCAGATCAGTGTCTGTAGTACTTTAAACCTTTTGGACCAGTAGTTCCTCCCCTAGTGGGGTAAATCATTCATTGCAACAGATACAATCATACTGTGAAGGCTTACTTTATTTGAGCAAATTCAAGAGATCTCAGGTATTCTTTTTATTAAAAGTTCAGTCTTTTTCAATAGTCTACATTCAATACTTTTAAATTCAATTATGCTACAAGATGTAAAGTAAGCATTTTGGATTTTGACCTTTATATCTTATCATAAAAGCTGAAATGATTATTAAGATAGTAAACATCAGCACTGTGATAAATTAGATCATTAAAGGAAAGTATGGGATTCGCAAGACATGTCTTCTGCGGACTCTCTATTCTGTTCTCAGTACTTTTGACCTGTGGGCAGTATTACCAATTCAGACATAAAGAAGCACTCCATGCACAGATTGGGAACCAGTGCCCATGTTTAATGCATATCTACCCTAGACTGTTGAATGTGGAGAAGTGGCTCAGAGAGAACATTTCTAATGAGAATAGTATTTTAGATGCAGTAAAGCCCTTTTGTGAGAGGAAAAGTCTCTTAGAGACTGAGATTAAATAAAAGAAGGGTTCATATAGGGAGTAAATCCCTACCTATATTTTATTTTAGACAGAAATATAGCTCACTTTTGTCAAAAAGGTCTATCAAAGCTTCAAAGCCTTATAGTATACAGTGATGTTGTGTACCAAATTTTATCTTTGTTTTATTTTTTATTTTTTTTGATGATTTTGGATGTGTAACTAGGTAATGTTCAATATGTGGCATAGAAGTGTGTGGCTGGAACTTGCAGGTTATTAATGCCACTGTTACATCCAAAGCCTTTTGAGGAAAAATACTCCATGTATATTTCAGATGCACTTCTGTGTTAAACTCGGGGCCTGCTGTACTTTTTGGATTTAAACCTTTAATCATAACTAATCAGCACATTGAGCTATGCAAGTTACAACGATGTTGTGTCGCATCTAGCTCTTATATATCTTATATATGATGGATTTTCTTTTGCTAAGAGGAAACGTTGTTTTCAGGAAAGTCTAAAAAACATACGTATATGATTACCTTATAGCAAAGTTCAACAATAATTGTACCGGTGGGACTCCTGAGGGAGTTTAATAAACTACTTTTCACGCAGTAAGTGGGACCCGCACCAGCACTTGGCATTAGTGTTTCTCGAAAGGCTTAAGCTGCAGCATCCCGCTTATCAACTCATGAGTGTCTTTACATGAGTGAGTGAGCCAAGTCAGATATAAGGAGCGTGGGTCGGCATTATTCAACAGACAATTACACGCATTTAGAAAGCTAGAATCCCTACATCCAGCCACGATCCTACTGAGGTAAATGGTAATTAGCTGTCCTATTTAATCCACTATAGATGTGCTCTGACATAAGGAAGCCAGGCTTTGACTGTGGCAGAGGATTAAGGTGCCCGTGAATAAGTGTAGCAGGTGGAAAAGGTGTGTCAACGTTATCTCACCCTGCTCTCGCGAGTATCCACATTTCTCATCGCTGTTCTAGCACTGACCTCTGATTGGCCACTTCAGTGCTAAGAATGCTCACCTCGAGCAGCTGTTGTCCTGCGACTAAAGGTGCGGTCACACTGGGCTTTGAGCATGCAAGTTTGGACCTGAATATCGGAAACATAAAAAAAAACTGTTTGAAATAAAAATATATATCACAAATAATTGTGTAATTATTAATACTACTAATAATTATTATTCATAATTTGAATTAATAATGATTATCAGCAACAGACTATGATGTCATGCTCTATGGGCTTCTGTTTTAAATAAATAATAAATCAAATACTACTATTATTACTACTACTTATTATTATTGTTGTTCTAATATTATTATAAATTTATGACTACTACTGCTAACAATAATTCATAATATAAATGAATGATATTAAAAATGGAAAAATATAGCATCTGCTCCACTTTCCTGCAACAGTTATCAGCAGGATAGGATGTTATGCTGTAGGACTTCTGTTTTAAATAAATAATAAATCACAATCCTAGAACTATCTCTCATAATTGTTATTATTATTAATAATTCTATAATATTTGACATTAATAATACATTAATAATAATAAAAATAAAAATATAAATAATATATTATTATTATTATTATTTATATGACTACTACTACTCATACTACTAACAGTAATTCATTATAAAAAATGGGAAAACCTCACAACATTGCAAGTCATGAAGCTTTTTAAAAAAAAAGTTATTTTTGGCTTTTCATTTCTTTATTAGATAGTATAGTGTATATGAGACAAGAAGCAATAGGGAGGAGAGAAAGGAGAACACGACAGGCAAAGGAACTCAAGCCGGGACTCAAACTTGGGTCAGCGGTGCCCACAAGGCTATTGCTCCGAAGTTATGAAGATCTCATCAAAAAATAAATGTAAAATATCGTTGTATTGAGCCAGGGGGTCAGTGTGTGATTTTTGCATCCTCTCATGTTCGAATTTCTTTTTTTCTTCTATAAAAATTCATATATCAGAATTCACCAAACACAGACAAGACTTCCTCACATGAGCTTGTGTTTCCATTCTAAAGCATTTGTGTGTACATTTTTATTAAACCTCAAACTGTTTTCTGTTTAAGAGTGTGATTTAACAAGGTTAAGGTGTTGCTTGCGTGTACCTTGTTCAGTTGAACTGAAAGACTACTGATGTGATGCATGTGCAGGCGCTAATTGTGTCTGTCTTCCACTCTGTGAAAGGTGAAATTACTCTCAGGACAGGTGAATTTAATTTTCCTCGCATGGGGAGGAAGAAGCAGGGTTTTGGCTCAGTGGTTTTGATGAATGCAGGCTGAGAGAGGGTGAGGAAGAGGCAGAGTCACTGTATAGTCATAAGAGGAGGAAAGTGGGAGGAATCTGGGCCATCTGTTAGACTTAGCAAGTGATATTTTGTGGGCAATGATGACGCCGTTGAACCACACAAACAGGCTTTGTTGTGAAACTTGAAGCCAAAGCCTGATTTGTTAGTGACAGAGGTGCTTTGGCTTCACAATCTGTCTCTGCTTTTTAAGACAAAGTCATATTTAATCCAAGTAACCTGCTCTCTCTGTTTGATTTGCAAACATAGTGATGATATTGAAATACTGGCTAATAAGATTAATTATTTTAACGTTTTAGCTGATAACTGGCAGTTACAGCTTAGCCTTGTTTTTTTGCACCATTAAACTTAGTTGAATTCCAATTGGAGATTAATCACAATTATTTGAGATAATCCCAATTTAAAATTTAAGTTCTTAAAGAAATTTCATCAATTAGCGAGAAAATCATAATCGGCCAGGGAGTAAAGAATAAAGAATATATATAAAAAAACACTACTATAAATTACAAAAATAGTCATAGGTCTTTCTTCATAAGAAATGAAGAATTAAGGGTTTAGTCAGACTGCATTATATATTATATTAAATTATATTATAAATGTTATTAATTTTCACAGCATTGAAGTTTATCATATGGGCCTATTATATATATATATTAGGGGTGTAACGGTTCACAAAATTCACGGTTCGGTTCGATACGATACACCTGTGTCACGGTTCGGTTCGGTACGGTTCGGTACGTTTCCGATACAGCAAAAAGAAAGAAATGCCAGAGAAATTTCCTTGATTTAATTTTTTTAATTATATTTTCATTAAAACTAACATCATAAAGTATGACATTTTTTAACTTTGAGCAATGATGGAGCTATACTTGACTCTTAGGAGCTTATAAAACAAAACAGCTCCTTGGACAAAATGAAATGTAATATTGTAGTAGTTATAAACAAAGGTTTATTTTAGTTCAGATTAACATTTGAGGGCAGCAATTGTATTCATAATGTCAAAATAAAACCGACGTGATGGTACTTGAAAGCATTATAGCCTACTATTCCTGCCAAACTTCCATGGTTACAGTTAGTAGTGTTACTACAGTAAATCCATTGTGAATGTTGCTGATCTGTGGACACTGGATAGTTCACTCATGGCACAATGTTTCTTCCTGGTTTCCACGTCAGCGCTGTTTGATCCGTTAATAACGGAGACATGTGAATGTTTCTCACTATATCTCGCAGCGATGTTATTACTTCAGTGGCGAATTAAAAAAAATTCTTTCTGATTTCGCTGTGTAGTAACAGTGCTGCTTGATTAAGATCGGCTTCCTCTGCATTGGTCCAAATTGATAAA